GAGTGATCTTTGTTCTTCATAAAGTTGCCCCGAGTATTGGTGCTTTCCTCTCTATACCATACAGTTTTGTGGACTGTTCTTTGCTCATACATGCAAGACTCTGATAGCAACAGCGAAATTGTTGAGTCCAGAATTTTTCAAGGGAACTCTCTCCCTCTTCCCCATATATTCCCTGGAAACAAACTTGAATTTTAGTTGATTTGCATCTCATTATCTTCTGTATTCTTTTATATTCGTCACACACAGCATTTGACAGTGTTTTTTCTGTTCTTTTGTTCTTGTTACTTTGCAGAGGCAACTTTTGAAATGTTTCCTAGACTTTTCAAGATAATGTTTGATAGTGGTATGGTCGATGAGATTTTTTTCCTGGAATTGCCTCGAGCATGTCGATTGTCCTCTGGATTATTGATGCTGGAATATGGGAACGCAGTTCAAGAGAGTGTGTATAAGAATTTTCGTGTTGTTCGGGAGGGTAAACTTCGCATTGTTTTCCAACATGACCTAAAGGTAATTTAGTTTTTCCATTTTGTTAGAGGTTGCTCTATGACTTTATGCATTGGCTTGTTGCCTTTAGGAGTCGAACTGTATTCATTACTGAGGTTCGTTGCTTGATGTCTCCTAGATACTGTCTTGGGAATTTTGCGCACGACATCATGACGAATTTTTGTCTCATAGATTGGTTGCTTCACAGGTATTAAATCCTGAATCTGAGCTGGTAAATGCAACTTTTTGATCTAAGAATTATCTTCATCGATTTTATGTGTTGTAGTTTGTGAAACCTGTCGTGTATTCGTTGATTTATCTAACATTTTCAATTCCCTGCAATTCTCTTTCACGTGCTGAAAGTATTGAAATCAATGAAGTACCTCAAGAGAGCCACGTACTTTGTATGTTCACTATAAGAAAACTACTAGCAGCAGGAATACGTTAACAGATCTTGTCATAGAGATCAAATCACAAGCCATAAAAATTTTTGTCACAATTTTTGTTTTATTTCCAATTCATGAATAACATTTAAATATTTCATAACATATCTGCAGTTAACTGATTCATTTCTTGTATCTGATTCATGAAAAACATTTAAATATTTCAGAGATATCTGGATTAAGTTTCAATGAGTAACTGAACAAAAATTTTCTGAGAACCATCTCTTTTGGACAAGATAAAACCAAATTACTTATCAGTGACAAGGAGCTAGATCAAAATGAAATAGATTAAAAGTGGTTCCCTTGGAAAGTGCTATTCTTTGAGAAATAATGTAAAGCATCTGGATTTTCTGGCCATATTTTTTCTCTAGTTTTTGGTGATTGAAATATCTATCACGGCCTTGAGATAATTGAAGAATTCTTTCTGTTTGCAGGTTAATCAGTTTGTTTTTACTGCTCAGAAATATCATGACAACATACTTGACTGTTCATCTGATAGGGTCTTACATCAGGATATGCAATCAACTTGCAATATGTAAGCATACGTGTTTTTCCTTCAGATTTCTAGATTTTCTTAAACACAATGCATCTTGATTTTCCATAAAAATTTCTCTTTTCAGACTTATAAATTACAATTGTTTGATTATTTTCCCTGTTCAATTAAGGAGAGGACAGTCAAGACGATTGTTTTGCTTTCACAAGTTATAAGGCTAAATGAAGTAGATATTTAAAAGGAGGGACATCTAGTACACAATGTGGAACGAATGAAATTATATTGCATATATATGACTTTCTTTCTTAAGATGTTAGAAGGATAATGCAACTGGTATTCTGGAAGCTATCAACCAGTTCTTTTCTTCTGCTAGCTTCATAGGTATCCTGCTCGATCTATTCCCCGTAAGAGACCAGCTGAATGCTTGGGATTTTATAATCTGTGCTAGTTATAAATAGAACCGATGATTCACTTGCAATGTTGCATCAATTGTTTTCTAAATTGAATTTAACTAGCAGATAACTAGATATACAGTATCCTGTTATTGTAGACTATTGAACGAGTTGTTTCATCTGTGTAATTCTGGTCTGGCTATGTTTTGTACACTGTGCTGCATTAATAAAGTACTTTGCTCAGTTCTCGAAGTTGAAATTTTAAATATCTTATTTAGGTAGTGATATTTTTAGTTCATTAACCAGACCTATGAAAGTTATTTGGAGAACATAATTCTCTTGGCTTTGGTTTCTCTCTCTTGGGTATAGGTTTGCAGCGGCGGGGCACCAACTTGCAAGGAATATGGAATTTCCCCTGGTGAATGACTTGGGATTTCCCAAAAGATTTATTCGGTCCTTGCAGGTACAATTTTTATGACTTCTAATGTTCGAGTCTCAATCATGGAATGATATATCTTTTCATGGTTAACGTTCCAATTGCATTTTCAACAGGTAGCTGAAATTGTCAATACCATGAAAGAGCTCATTTCATTTAGTCACGACAGAAAAATTGGACCGATCGGTATGTGAATATACTTGTATTGCAAATGATGTGACTGTTCATCTATTTGTTTTTGTTCAGTTGCCACTCGAGGCAATGGAAACTTTTCAATATATTTTCCTTTAGTTTTTGCTCATGGGCATAAAAATGGACTCTATTTCGTTTAGTAATGCTGCTTCAATTGACTTATTTATCTTTCTCGTCTACAAAGAGGTAAACTCTTCAACCAAAATAGCTTTTGAGCACCATGGGTTTTGCTGATAGATGAAGACAGAAGTAGACATCACATTATAAGTTTTGCTAGGCCTTTGCCCCTCATATAGTAATTAGACTTTGCAAGTGCATTTTTCTTTTACTTTTATTGGTTATGATGTTCAGAAGTAAATCGATTTTTGTGAAAACCTCTCTTGAGTATTGCCTATGCTGCATTTTATTGGTTGTGATGTTCAAAATTAATTCGATTTTCCATCTAAATGCCCTGTGAATATTTTCTGCGCTTCACCGCTTCTGCAAACTAAATTTGACACTCCTCTGTAGAGAGCTTGAACAATTATTCTCAAGGCAGCTGGACAAACCAGACAAACAAGAAACAAGGTATGGAGAAGTGGGCAATTGCAAAGCAGCCTTGTCCTGGAATCTCGTGCCAGGTTGATAACAAGGTATCTTTTGGGGCGGGAGAAGCGTTATCGGCACTGGACAATTATCAATGTCAATTGCTTATGCAGAACACATGTAACGCATCTGTCAGAACAACCATGAATTGCTCCACCCGGTTGGCATGTTTTGGTCCTCAGTCTTCGGATTCCAATCAGTGCAACGATAGCTTGTTAAAAGCCCTCCAATCTTCTGAAAATGGCAAAATTAATCTCGACAAATTACTTAATGACATGGTGGCTGCCAGCAGAGGGAAGAGCGTGCAGCCGCAAGGAAGGCTCGAAAACGAGGGCACCTCCAAATCCTATCAAAACATCTCAAACCGCTTGCTTATCGGCCATATGGACAAATGCAACAAGAGCGTAGATGCTGCCTCTCCGCGTCCAAATCCTGCAATTGCATCTGGAAGTGCTAATATTCCCAAGGCAACATCCGACAATAACTCACCAGCAGATGCGCGCAAGATTACTATCAAAACTGAAGCACATTCACCTGAGTTTGAACTGCCAGAAGCTTTCCTAAGCTTCCAGGGTCTGAATTGATCTAAAAGTTGTGCTCTATCAGTGGGAACTTTGTTTTGGGTCCAATTAACCTGTCGAAACCATTGTAATTGGCTACTGGGGATCTTTCTTTTGAAATTTCCTTCTTTTTCTCATTAGGGATGTTGCATTACAGCTTAGCACCTTAATTTCTTGAATTATCAAAAGATTATATGAAGGTATACATGTAAAGTCGAGCAATATCTACAAAATCAGTTGCTTAATTGAATGCGGGTTTGATATACAGTATTTTGTCAGTATTACACAATATGAAAGTGTTTTAAAAAGCGTAAAGTATGACTAAACGTGAAGTTAAGCTTCAAGCTAGGCAAGGTCCAGGTGTAAAAAAGTATTATTTATTTTTATTATTATTCTAAATATTTAACCGTTTTAAAATCATTTACTAATTAAAATAAAGAATACCGAATATTTAAAACTATAAAATATTATATTTACTTAATAATTTCTGTAACTAATCAATTATATAATTTTCAAAATTTCGAAACGCGAAATTAATACTATATTTATAGTTTAAATTTTGAACTAGACAAGTCATTCTTAATTAATTTATAAAATGATAAATTTCAAAATTATAATTATATAATATAGATAGCATCATAGTTTAAATTTTATTAATCTTTATTGGATAAAGTTATTTTTTACTTTTGTATAGATAGTCATTTGAAAACTTGAAACTAAAATTAAATAAACCCTTGGTTGGTCTCTATTCTTCTAAAAATTCATTTTTTCAAAACTTATTTTTAAGGATAATGTCATTTGTAAAATGTATTTTGACGACATTGTTGACAATATTGTGTGTGTCAAAAAAGTGTTGGTTGAAAAGATAAAATATTTTTTAAACTATCCGAGGATAACATGTCACGTGGCATGTTGTTAACAATGTCGTAAAATGGATTGTACGTCAAGCATAATTATATTTTTAACCACACATTTTTCAATAAAATAACACTATACACAAATCCAAAAATTTTCCTTATTTTTTAACCACACACACTATCACTCTACTATTCAAAATATATTTTTTCTCCCAAAATGGGGATCAAACAAGGGCTAAATGTCTTTTAAAAAATGGGGAAAAAAAAGTTAATAAATTAAAGTCAAATAAAAGGTTTTTTAATAAGTGAAAAAACAAAATTAATAAAGCGCTTAGGCATTAATTCGCGCTTATTATTTGCAAGGCAAAGCATTTTTGCCCATGCCTCACTTCACTTAGGTACGCTTTTCAAAACACTGATATATAACAATCAATAAAATTATTCAATATGATAAACGAGGTTTTAAACTTGATTTTATGCCTTAATAATGTTGTTTGGGACTTTACCGTTCAACTTATCAAATGAGCCACACTTGCATGTAGAGACATAACATGTAAGCGAAAGAAGTAGCCATCTGCTTATCCTGTCTGAGGAAGGGTTCATTAGGATTGAAGATGTAACGAGATCTAATTGGGTCAAAATCTCGTCAGCCAACCCAAAACAACAAATATTTTCCAAAATTCTGCGATGTCCATGACATTAATAAATAGTTTGAGTTGAAAATTCATTGATAAGAACTGCCTTTTGTAGACTCTAAAAAGCTACAAAAGTGCCCCCAAGGAATATCTCCCAGTGGCAAAGGGGAGGGCGGATATGGCTCAGTGCGGCAGTGTGCAGAGTTCGATTCCCCGCAAGGTGGAATTGGCTTTGTTGCAAGCGGGAGTTACCATATGGGTTAACAGCCTTGGCCTATCCATGTGCTCTCCACCCTGGCTCCTGGGAGGCACATCTTGCGATTTACTTCCTCCACGATGGCCCAGGGCAGGGTCGGTGGGGGCCCTTAAGGTTGGGGTTCAACCATAAAAAGCTACAAAAGTAACCAATGTACCTACCCTACATTACTTACCTCTGACTGCCTGCTTTCCACTGGAGGTTAAGTTTTTAAAAACACTCTAACCTCTCTTTAAATTCACTAGGATACACAACAACAGAATCTACACAGAGACCACCTTTAGTGTGTGTGCAATCAATTTGTGTCATCGAAAATTTGACTAATGTTGATTGGCAAGAATCAGTAACAACAAAATCCCCAGCATGATAGTGAATCCATTTTCCCACTTCCTTCAAGTAATACTGCATTGTTGCTTGCTGACCATCTGAAGTTGAAAGCTGGAACCGAACAGGCTTTTTATCCCAACCATGAACCTTCTCGGTATTACAAACCCGGCGACCAAACCTTTTATATGCTTGTCCCAAATGCAGTCTAAAGAAGAGGCTATAAGAACCTGCTGGAAATGGGAACTCGACCTCCCCATTCACTTCAAACCACCAGACTTGCTGGACATATACAACTGAGTGAAACCTACATGGAAGAATTGAGTCACTCAAAACAACAAAAATATGTTTAGAAGAAACCTAAACCATTACAAGGTGTTTAACCACTAGAACGAATGTTTAAGGCTGTCCACTTTCTAGCATACAAGTTAGTACCAAACTGTTCTTTCCTCTCCTGCTAGAACAATCATTGATCTATTACGGAAAGAAAATCCAACACAGACTTCAATAGAAACAATCAATTATAGGTGCTCAAGGATTCACTAGAAGAAAACAGGTACCTATAATAACAAAATGTGACCATAAAATGCCCCAAAAAGTTTGATTTGCCACTAAAATCTATAAACACATCATATGCATAAAAGTGTATTCGATCCCAATTCTCACCTCTAATTAAATTGATGGAGACAAAAATATTTTGAAAACCTCACCTCGATTCTTCAGTTGGAATTCGACTCCAGTATCTCCGGTCATCAATCCCCGTTATTGCCAATCCATTTGATGATATTGACATACAAATCTTTCCTTTACTCTTATCCAACCAGACTTTCTGCACATAATCCAAATAAACAAACCCCATTAACATCATAAGTGAAAAGAATATTGTACGTTTTAAATTTCATCCTTACTAAAACACCCATCAAAGTATATGAAAACTGGGACCATATATTTTAAGAACTTTCACAAAAATTAATAATCCATCTTTCATAATTCTTGAAATGTTTTCTATGAATCTTTAATTTCTACTAAAACCCAGGAAAAAATAATATGCTCTATGCATTATGCACCCCAAGAAAATATCAATTACGAATAAAATCACAAATATTTCCATAAGAGACGTTCTTTATTGTCCCATTATTTCCATATTCTAAATTTTGCAAGAAATAAAACATAATTGTAAGATTAGGGTTTAATAAATCTGATAATCAAATGAAAAGAAAAATGGGTAAATTAGACCTTAGAGCCACCGTCAAAAGAATTGGATCTGCACAGCCTGGAATAAACATCCTTTTTACACAAATCCTTGCAAAAACCCTCAAATTTCTCACCATCATTCTCAAACACCCTTTCCACAATAGAGCCATAATTCAAAGGCAACTTAGATTCCCACACAAAATCCGCAGAAGAAGCCCCCCTGAAAGCCTGATTCAACATTGCAAGCCTACAGATCTCTGGTGGGTCAAGGTACCCAATAATTGACGCAACGCAACTCTCCGGCAAGTCCCCGAGGCCTGGCTCCGGCGACGGGTCTACTACTGAGTTTCCACGCGAAAACAAGAACGACAGCGACGAACCCATCTGAATGGAAACACACAAAACACAATGGATTGTAATTTCCTTGATGAAATATTGAGGAATATTTTGCAAGATCCGTTGTATTGGTATATGTTTAGATATATAGAGAAGATTAGTCGGGGAGATAGAGAGACGCGTATGTCATTTTCGGAAACGAGGAAAAATATTTTATTG